TGGCTTTAACAGGAGACTCAACTGAATCCCGGCGGAATATCTCGTTTGTAACATTCTTCGTCTGAATGTGCTGCACCAAGACGAGCTAGTGTTTCAGTTGGTACGATATGCTAGATATAGCGGTATATTTGCTCCAATGAAATTACTCATAAGCATCGACTTGAGTTTGCTCGCTCACTTTCATGCAACTTACATGGGAACCGTATCTGTACTGGACATATTTCTGGGAAAGCCACTGCATCGTTTTTACGCAGGTTTCAGATGGGAAAACATCCACTCCGGAGGTCCGGCAGAAGTTCGCTCAAAGAACTGCGTCTCTGTAGAAAAACGACTCTTTTCTTTATACACATGTCACTTTCATGTTAGCAAATTCCTTAACAAGGCTGTCCTTGAAATTGCGAGTGAAAACCAGTGTCCTACTGCAAGTCCGCAGAACTGTACCGTACTTTGTCGGTACATTATTTAAAAAAAGTACGTTTAGGACTGTCGGGGTCAGCTAAGCCGACCATGAGTTGTTCCGTATAACAAAAAATAGTCTTCTCCGTGCAGTGGAATTCGTTACCATCAATTATTTCAGACTATCCAGGTCTGCGGGAAGTTTGCCAAACGTCAAATAGACGCGTACACCAAGAAGTTGTCCCAATGACTGCTACTCAAAACTCGGCGGCTAGCGGGCGGTTGTCTGGATGTGTGTGTATTTGTGTGTGGTACTGAGACATATGGCTTGATAAAATGTCGGGATGGAGAACGTATTCTTAGAAGATTGCTGTTAGGACTTTCCTATCCTCCCTGAATTGTTCAACTGGTTGTAAGAACATTTCTCTAAGAATGAGGGCAATAGGTTCTGTTTCACTTGTGTGAAATTTAGTGTCGGTGTTCCCCTAAAAACGTCCATTTCATCTTTTTCAGTTGCAGCTGATAGAACTTAACAGTGAACTCTTATGACTTAAGGTTCCTACTGATGATGATGATGATGATGATAATGACATTGTTTACAATAGTATTAATAGTGATCACGTAAACAAGTTGAAAATCACAGTCTGGTGGTAGCACAGAGCAAGTACACGGGAAACCGATGGACCGGGTAAATCTGTAGTAGTGCGCTGCGTTATTTTGGACTTTTCGGTGGGTGAAACTGACCCGTGTGAACTTCAGGGCTGCATTACGGAATCTACCCAGACAGTGACTATTGAAGAACCACGTTAGGGTCACGTGATAGGATTGATTTCACTGCTGGTGTCTACGGATAGTGGGCAATCTTGATTCAGGATAGTTAGATTCTACAGGCCACTGGAACTAGGGATCGATCTAAAGAATGATGCCCGAAAGAGATGAAAATGGAACGGAGTAAAGTCTAAGTACGTAAGGTGAGTCTCCTACTTCAGCCAGCCAGAAGCTTTGGTGTTCTATCGTAGCTCATTTGACTATCTCCAAATTCATACGCAGGACTTTCAGAATCCATATTTCGGTTTCCCCAGAATTTCACCTTAGAAGAGAAATGCCGAAATAGCTTACTGATTACGATGCTTTAGTCATGAAATCGATCATACGACCAATAGTTGATCCGCAAAGAATCGCTTCTGACCAGTCAGTGAGATCGGTTTGTGTTGACTTCTGTCGGCAGCTGATCGATGTCAGTGGAGTTCGTGCTGTCAGTTTCTTTCCAGATTAGCTGATTAAGCGCTTGGAGATGTAGGCACTTAAGAATGCTAAAATAGGCCAGCATCAGGTTTCCTCCCTCGCCCACCCTTTTTTCTGTTGAAGCGTCAGCGTCAACACTGATATTGCTCTCTCTAATGATGGTGACTTCCTTTGGCCTGTACTAGAAAATCACGTGAGTTTGTAACATAATGCTTACAGAAAATAGTAAAGCCACTAAAATTCCTAATATCATGTCATAATAAGCGTGAACCGCACAAAATTGCTCGATCGATCCGCTCATTTGACGGAGGACGTTTTTTCCTATACTCATTGTCGAAGTTCTCACGGTTTGCGGTATACGAACAGAACAAAAGCCTGGGTGAAAACGGTCTCTTCAGACAGGATATCGAGAACTAGTCCAAAATTTTTCAAAATTAGCAACAATATTAGTCCTTCAAAAAACAGGTGTCCTTCAACCGAAGCACGGTCTTTATTTTCCCCAAGTGAAATATTCCCTTGTCCTGCTCCCAGCAGTTATCACCAAATCAATAATGCCAAACAAAGCCAGCGTCGTTTGCCGACATGTTTGCAAAAGTGCTTTGCGCTTTTTTTGAACGCGTGTGCCCAAAATGCACCTAACCTAAGGACGGAGAAAAATGTGGTTAAAATGTTCTGGCAGGATATGAGCTCCAACTACTCTGGGTTATTAAGTGGCCTCTCCACTGTCGTTCCGCTGTGACCACGGAATTTCATTTAGTGGTTCCTGAAGCACTTCAAGGTAGATGAGGAACAAGCTGTCTTCAACAGTTTTACCTGAGCTACATCTCGTCATACTGCTTTCGTTCATCACCCCTTGTGGTACCAGGGCAATAGGTAAAAAACGGAGTACATGTATAGTGGTAAGCCGAGAAACCGCTGGGCTGGTAAAAAGTCTCACTATTAACTGAGAAGTGTTGCATATAAACCTTTTTAAAGCTTCATCTCATTTAACGGAAGATATCCCTGTAAAACTCAAAGCGGAAACAGGATCCAACAATAAGTGCCTGAAGCAAAGTGTCTACTTCGATGTACCTGTCAGAAGGCACTGAGCTTTAGAGGGTTCTGAGAAATACATATTTCAGGAACTGCAGGCGGATTCGGTTGGAGGCCGCGAATTTGCGGTGAGGTAACTGGGTAACGGATTCCTAGTGAAGTAGACAGTATTTTTGTCAGAGAATGCATCCAGCACTGCAAGCAACATTGACTGGGCCATGCCAGGCTACCGCCTGCCAAGATAAGAGCTGTTTCCCGTGCCCACATGGAAGTGGCGGCAACTAAAAGGTGGACGTAATCTGACATAGCTGAGTGAAATGCAATACATTGCAATGCTTGTGCGCCCTCCGGGATAGGATCAACCTGACCCTCCTAATGCTTGACTGGAAACACTGAATGACCAAAGTCAGTAAAGTTTGTGCTCTCAGTTCCCATCCAGACTACCCAAATGAGTGCTAGAGATGTAAACATCTTGAATGTTCTTTAGGCTAGTACCAGACCCCCTCCATGCCCCATGTTTTCTTTTTCCCATTATATGGCTTTGTTCAAAAAAGGTGACATGGTTATACAGCAGTGAAGTGTCGGTGTCCTCATTTGATATTCTTCCAAGTGATGATGGTGTATAAGCGGAATCTTTTCTGGTATAAGCTAATCTTATCATTACGGTTGAGTCGATCATCAGACTGACGACAAGATGAGGCGAAATGCCAGAATTCCATGAATAACTTCGGAAATGCGGCCTCCAATTAAATGTAGGTCACTTCGAGGTGGTGTTTGTGCTCAGGGAATCGTAGGGCGACGGGCGCGGTTAACATACGTACATACATAAGAGTACCGTCAGGACCTGCCATTCTGTAACCCTAGGTCTGCACTCTGTCAGAAGATAAAGTTCACTTCACGAGAATGCGTCCTCAAACGACTGCTTTACTTCAGATTAGGGTGAGCCTCTGAAGCGCTCGTGCTGTTCCTGTTGTGCGACAACTTGTTCGGAAAAAAAAACTGTTCAGCTGTAACATCCTTTCGGTGCCTAGCTGCAATGCCGCCCAAGGGAAGCACGAGGGCTGGGATACTGCGAGGTTGTCCAAGCCTAGACAGGGGGAGTTCAGAGGCAGAGGTAGGGTTTTAACCACGGATCTTCCGGTCAGTAAGTTGGCTCTCTAATCACTTGAGTCATCTTGGTCGGCATTAACAACTTGGCTCACAAGACTCAATAGTCCATGAGACACTACCAGAAATCCATACCATTGTATTACAGTTCCAATTTGTCCAGTTATTTCAGTAGGGCTTATTTACGAATGCATGTTGGTCGGGCTAAACCTAAGATAGCAGTCTTCATAGAACCTAAGGTTTGATGATTAATTTGACCTCATTTCAGTTCGTTTCTAACGGCAAGCATCCAGCTTGCTGGACTAGAAGGATTGCTCAGATGGCTTTGACAACGAACGTCACTAGAGCCTCTCGCTGGAAACGAGCTAAGCTGATCTTTGCCAAGCATTCTTTGGACTAATTAATTACTTGTTTGGAATTAGCATTCTCTGTTGTCTATTCTCACTACATCAGGCATCATTCTGATTCTATTTTTCGACTTCTGTCTGCAGACTTCTTTGTACAAATAATCATGCGTCAGGCTAACAGCGTTTACGCTCCACGAAATGGTTCAGTCCATTTTTTTGCATCGACCCATCTGATGTGCCTGAATGTCAGTTTTTGGCCTCTCCCGCTAGATCTTCAGTAACTTGTAGACTCACTAGGTAGACAAAAATCGTTCACCTGTAACAACATTTTGGCGCCTAACTGCCATGCCACCCGAAGGTTGCACGAGGGCTGGGATACTAAGGTTTCCCAAGCCTAGACAGGGTGAATCGAGAGGCAGAGCTCAGGTTCGAACCACGGACCTTCCGGTCAGTAAATTCGCACTTTACCTACTTGGGTCATCTCGCCCCGACTACTCACTAGGTAGTCTAGAATAGAAACCGCAACGGTACAACATAGGACTGCTTTCTTATGTAGTAGACTTTAGTATCAGTATACCAGATGACTTATCGAACAGTCCGTCTGTAGTTTTCGCTCAAAAAGAGTGACTGATCAACCTTAGTGGCACCTAAAACAATTTTTCTAGCATTCTGAGCACAATAATTTGAAATAAACATGCAACAAATTTCGGTTCTCTTCAAAATCTGCAGTAACAACAGAAATCCGTAACCAGTCAGGTCCTGTAAGCCTAATAAATGGCAACAAATAATGCCACATCAGTTCGATGCATTTTTCAGAACTCGAGAAGTTGACATTTCAGTTCTCAACAGTTCTCGGTTTTTCTTTTCCATCAGCACACGTGACCAAAGTGGCAGCTGACAATTTATCGATTCCCTGTGGATGACACTTGACTTTTGTGATGACGTGAACGCCAAACAGCAGCTACATTAATCCAATGTCTGAAGAAAACCTGTCCTACTACGTTCAGCATAGTCTGCCAAACTCTACCTCATGGTCTGGTCCAATACAACCCACCCTACAGAAATGCCAGACACAACCAGAGCTGGACGACCCACGAGCGTACAATACGAGGCGTTCTTGGGCTAGAAGTAAACGCATATCGGTGAGTCACAATTCATCTGATAGCCCCGTCGCTACTTTCCTGAATCCGTTTATCACAAATAAATACGGGTATATAGCTGTGTGTCCTTAGAGCTGAAGAAGAAATTGCTCGGACTCCAAAGCATTAAAAAGGACACCCTTTTCAAAAGATCCCTTTAAGGATGCTACCTTTTGGTATCCCTATCTCTTCATGTTTGACACCTGGAAGCAAGGGTTTTAAAATCAATTTTCAGAATAGTAAAGCTAAGAAGATGACATATACGCGATATCTCGAATATCATGCCAACTGAATCATCAGGCGGCCTGTGTGCGGCACATTTAGTTGTAGAATATCCTAAACGAGAGATTCAGTTAAGTCTCTCGTGAAAACCAAATTGATTTGCAAATGAGTGTATTTCTCAAAAACAGTCCAGTTTGGGTTCAAGTAGACCATAAGTTTGACGAAACCTCGGAGACTGCGCCTACCTGATGAGCCCCACGAAGGGCGGAGCCGGTCGTGGGCTGTCGAGCAGTTTTCAGCAACCTTGTGAGTAGTTTCCTTTATGAAAATATATGCCTGCTGTTTTATATAGCTGATCATAGCAGCGTTTCCGTTTTGCGCATGATGTCGGTGGAAGCCTAAATTGTGGTTTGCAGTCGGTGACTTTGGATAGCAATCGACGGTTGTTTCCTTCAGTCAAACGCTTGGTGGATCTCTCTATGTCTGTTGTCAATTCTGTTTGGGTGCAACGTAGGATGATGAGTCTCTGAATGTCCTAACACGGTTCAGGAATACAAACTAAATAAGTCGGCTTCTTTCTCAGACGGTCACAAATGTCTGTCTGAGTTTAGACAAGTCAGTCCAACCCAAACCAACTCACACCACGTCATTCCGAGCCAAGTCAAGAAAAGCAAAGTAAATACAGCTCAAGAAAAGAACTATACACGAGAAGGTGAATTTTAAGTAACAAATTCACCGGTTTTTCGGTAGCCAACAGTCGGTAAGGTGGAGTGCTTGTGGATTTGGTCCAACCTTCTTCAGTTTGTGTGTAAATCATCTTTGATTCCAAGGGAGGTTGATGGTGTAGGTATGCCACTCGTTAGCGGCTATGTGTTGACGAGCGTCCTCTTCAAATATACCGTGGGGACCATGGACGAAATCTCGGTCCAATAAACTTATGCTTCCTGCATTGAGGCGTTTACGACAAAATTCACAGATTGGAGACCTTGTTGACTAGCGGAACCCTGTTATGCACCTGACGACTCGCGCCTACCCATGTCACCTGTAAATTTGTGTGCCACGATTTTTAGACATTCGAACTTCTGACTGCAGTGTAACGCTATCCTGCCAAACAGGTAGTAACAAAGTCTATAAAGCTTCATCGGATATGAAAACCGGGCAAGCAAGTGTTGAAGTGTTGGAACAAAATGGTCGGAGGAGATCAAAGTAAGCTATAGATATTGTATTGGCAAAATGCATCATGATTCGTAGTTAATAAAATCCCGATTGAAATGGATCACAGAATTCTAGTTTACCAACCAGCGGCACGTGAATATGGTTCAAAACACAATGGACTGAGAGTGCTGATCATCCGGCCCGACTATCTCTGTAAAGTTGTGACAAACGCCAAGGCGCCACATCACTAGCAAAAAAGCCTTGAAATTCGACGAAACCTAGAAATTTTGTACGAATTGGACTACAAATTAGTAGTATTTATCAAAAAAAGTCAGAGAAAATGATACAGGCAGTACATTAGGAGGGGAAAGACGTCCGAAAGTACGAACGAGTTACAGAGGAGCAGTACCGCGAAGTCGACCAAGGGTGAAGTGGGACTGTTTTCGAGAAATACACTCATTTGAAAATGAATTGGTTTCAACGGGGAGACTCAAATGAATTTATCGTTTATGACATTCTTCAACTGAATGTGCTGTACACAGGCCGCCTCATGTTTCAGTTGGTACCATACTCGAGATATCGCAGTATATTTCCATAAAGAAAACTACTGACAAGCTTGTCATCGAAGATTTTTCACCAACCTTTCGGGTAATTTCCTTTATTAATTTGAGACTGTTAGGTAAGATAGCTCCGAATCATTTCAGGTCTAAATATCTCAGATGAGAAACAATTCCGTTAAGTGGTACTGACAAGCCAAAAAAGATTTCGATTTCACTTGCTTGCTTTGAGAGGGACCGTAAAAACCAATTTTGTAAAATAATGGAAGACAGTTACACGATTACCTAACGAGTTAGGTCTACTGAGTCTGTAATTCCGTGTGCACTTTAATAAATTAGACTCTAGCCGGTTGAGTCTTTCGGCACTTGTAAGCGCCGGGGACGAACTGAACGATTCTGCCAAAGACTGACCAGTTTGATAGTTTTGATTGTTTTGATTGACTGATTGATTGATTGATTAACTAACTCAGTGTGCCTTCTAGCAAGCAATTGACGAATCAAAACACACTTCAGCGGCCAGGGAGAGTCAAACTTTGACGGCTGTTACAGCACCCAGGCCGGCATGCATCACATACTAGGAAAAGTATCTAAAACCAATCGAGATTTCTATTTGGGGTAGCGGGTTTGTTAATCATTCATCTGAACCGTATGAAGATCATTGGTCGAAAATAAAGTGGAAATTAAGTTAGGTGGCTCAAAACGCCGTCAAATGTTTGAAAATCCGTGATCGCTTTAGAAGTGATACTCTTCTCTTATTTTCGAAAACCCTGATCTTTTGTTTCGAACACCTAGATGGATATCTGAGTAACTGTTGTGGATCTTTTTCAGATAAGCGTCGCCAAAAAATTGACCCCCGCCACCCGAAAACCATTAGAAAAATGAGAATATGAAAGTTGTACTTTTATCTTACATTGAAGAGAGTGAAATTGAGACACGCCATTAGAAATTTGCATGAAAAGGTTCGTTTTCTGGCACGTTTGCCTCCAAACGAACTCACACAACTAGCTGTCCACTAAAGATCGGTGTGTACCGTATAGGCGTTTATTCTGCATCTTGTAGACGTGCCAAAGGGATTCGATGGCGAGATATTAGCGTTTCATCGATCTCGACGTGTAGATATGGGCCGCCGATAACTGTTGGAGTCTGCAAAAGCCTCCAGGCACAAACTTCGCGAAGAGAGTTTTTCAGTCAACAACGGTCGTGCAGCTAATAGATAATTCCTCTGAGCAGAGTTTGATTTTTGCCAAATTTTTGGACCTGTGGAAAATGAATAGACCGCTCCAGCCAAGTTCCCTTTCGGATACCGATTTTTCGCCAATACTGTCGGGCATCCACCTCCACCTGTCAGAAACAGTTGAAAGTGTCATTTACAAAAAGCGTATTGCCGTCTCCTTGTCACGAACGAGAGTTGAAAGCATCAAATGTACATTTAAGGTTTTACGTCTGAACGCAGAAAATCTTTGCATAAAATGAGTCTAGATGCAGATAAGAAATTGTTTTCATCAGAAATATGTCAAGGTTGTATGCGCACATTGAACTGAAGCAAAATGAGCCTAGGTGCGGATAAGAGATTGTTTTCATCAGAATTAGGTCAAAGTTGTGTGCGTACATCAAATTGGAGCTGGCAAAATGTGGCGGAGCTTAAATTTTCGCACATGCACTTTTTGCATTAGTGGCGAGACTTATCTGGAAACGATCCACTATCAAAAGTTCGGTGTCTTCGAACCATCATAGAATGCTGGTCTCTTCTGTGCAGAATTTATGGAACTGTTGTATGTCCAGAATTGTATGGAGTTTGAATACTGGTTTGACTGAGGATGGCACTTGAATTGCTGCAGTGATCCAGCTTGCGGTTCACTGTAATACAAACTGTTCTGTTCACTTTTGGCTGGCGCATCCCGCCTTGGTAGTTCTATCTTACGGTCACACACAGCGATGTTCGCCTTGATATCGAAGTGTCGTTTGCTGTCGTGTACACAAGAAAACAAGGGCCACAAAACTAACCACAAATGTGTTATCGATCTATCGTGAGCTGGTTGGTTTTGGCGCGTCAAACATGTGTGCTTTGTGATACCCGCAGTTTTAATCACCGCACAATCGTATAAGCAAGAAGCGTGCTTTCGTACAAATAATGAAAAGTGCTATATGGAATCGGGTCGTGATAAATTTTAAAGAAATCGTTTATTTACAAAGAAACCCGTTTACCTGAGGTCGTATCGCTTGCACACCACGAACCAATCGATCAGGCCAAAAAATGCATACGGAACGAGAACACTAACTGTCGCCTCAGCATTTTATTGCGCGTGGTCGTGCGGTAAGACGGCCAATCTGCTTAAATGCAAGCGGAATTCTCACTCATGCAGCAATCAATACTGACGCATTCGTTGTGTACCACTTGCGTTCCTTGGTTTCGAAAGGTGTCGTGTTTATCTTGTACTCAGTTGAACATTGGGTTTCTCTGTACGCATACATGTTTGACTGCTTCCGACGCCCCCCATAAGGTCAACCAAAATACTGTCATGATGCAACTCGAAAGCGAAACCCTGATCCCTTACTTGTTCGACCCTGTGGACCATTCCGGTGGTGTGGCCCGCTGTCGGATGGTCGAATGTGCCTGTAACAAGCAACACTCGTTTGCCTCTTTGGTCATGACTCGTTCGTGCTGATAAACAAAGCTATTGTTCCCTCGACCTGACTAGAAGAATACGGCATAAGCCATAGCTCTGGGTCCTTTTAAATGGCTTCTTCAACAGGCGTAATTCTTTGTCCATATTGACGAAATTGTATTAGTTCAAATGATCTTTAGTTGCAGGTTAAAGGCCTTTCAAATGAACCGTTGTTCTGGGATTTTACGACTGTCGGCTAATCGGTTTTGTATGTATAATGTCTATAAAATGACATATAGAGGGTTGTGCTATGAATGTGTCAAATCGAAACGGGAAGTTTGGGAACGAAATAAAAATGGATTGTTTTGTGCAGCTATGCCCGGTTGAAAGATGTTTAGCAACCGAAAGAAAGGCACAAAAATTTATGTTCTCCAGTCTGATTCATCGGAAAATACCGCACCGG